ATTCTGCTCCAGACACGAGACTATTTGGAGTACCCTCCTCCTAAAGCAGTGGCTTCCAACCCTTGCTGCCTATGAGAATCACTCAGAAACTTTTTTTAAAAAAAGAAATACCAGTGCCTGGGCCCGATTGCTAAAAAACAAACAAACAAACAAAAAAACCTGATTTTATTGGCCCAGCTGGTGCCTCAGCATTGGTGTTTTGTAAAAGTCCTTCAGCTGATTCTAATATGTAGTCCAGGGTTGAAAATTGCTAACCTACGTTACAACTGGGAATCAGCAACAGGTGAAAATTGACTTATATTTTCCTAATTGACAAATTTAGGATTTCCTGATCAGAGTTTCAGCTACGATGACTTGACATGTTACTAACGTATGATGCTTTATTGAGTGGATTTGTCCACACTGGGATTTCCATCTAAAGAAAACTAGAGATGATTGAGTGTTCTTTGTTTTTCCCTTTTCTTTCGTGAGGGCAGTATATTTGTGGGTGTCCTGCCTAGTTCAGGCAACATGGTTTTAAAGGGTGAGAAAATTCAAAGCTTAATTTGGGTAAAGGGGGAATAGTGATATTTCTGATGAGAAAAAAATAGACTCCCTTCTTTTGTACCAATTTTTGCTGGAGTCAAGGAAGAGCTGAGCCCTGCTCTGGAGTCTGGGTGGGGAAGGCTGCTCCTCAGGCTGCTCGGAGGAAGGCTGAGTGGGCTCTGGGCTGGGCTGGGGTGGGTGGAGAAAGGCAAGGTAAACGGTACTTAGAGCTTTGGGAACATAGGCAAATGCTTCCCGCAGCGTCGTGAACCAGGTGGCAAGCTCTGGCTGTACCATCAGCCAGGAATCTAGAGGAAGCAAGCTTCAAAAATTGTGCTAATGTCATCCGGCACTAGGAAGACATGAGCTCTCAAGCCATGGAAAGCCATGGAGGAACCTTAAATGCATATCACTGAGTGAAAGAAGCCAATCTGAAAAGGCTACACACCATATGAGTCCTACTATATGACATTCTGGAAAAGGCATTTCTTCAAATGTAAATTTCTACACACCATTGACAACTTGAAAAGTTTATTTTTTTCTTATGATAAAATACATTTATTGTGGAAATACTGCAAAGAAAGAAGAGGGAAAAATATCTGCAATTCTACCATTTCAGAGATAAATAACCGTGTTAATGGTTTGGTGTATATCCTTCTGTTGTTTACCTGTGCACACACATATGTGTATAAACATATATGTACATATATTTTTCTACAAAAATGTACTGAATATTCTTTTTTGGTAAAGTGATTTTTGCATTTGTTAAAATTGAACATCTTTCTATGTTACTGAAGATTATATTCAATACATTGTATACACAACAAGATTTTGTGTGGATTTTCCACGATTATCCTATTGTTCAAGGACTAATATTTATTTTTCCAATTCTTCTTTATTCTCTTAGCTACTTCACTGAATGTCCTTTTTTTTTTTTTTTTTTTTTTTTGAGACAGAGTCTCACTCTTTTGCCCGGGCTAGAATGAGTGCCGTGGCGTCAGCCTAGCTCACAGCAACCTCAAACTCCTGGGCTGAAGCGATCCTCCTGCCTCAGCCTCCCGAGTAGCTGGGACTACAGGCATGTGCCACCATGCCTGGCTAATTTTTTCTATATAATTTTAGTTGTCCAATTAATTTATTTCTAATTTTAGTAGAGACGGGGGTCTCGCTCTTGCTCAGGCTGGTTTCGAACTCCTGAGCTCAAACAATCCGCCTACCTCGGCCTCCCAGAGAGCTAGGATTACAGGCGTGAGACACCGCGCCCAGCCTGAATGTCCTTTTGACTGAAGGTTAAGAAATAGAATAGCTGGGTCCAAAGCTGATTGATATTTTATAGACTATTGATCATTATTGCCAAATAACTCCACCAAACTGTGTTCATCCACACTGGCACTTCGCTGGTACTAGGACTTCTCCTTCCCCACCCAACTTTTGCTAACTGACAGTTCCCAGATGGTATTCCATGTTGTGGACTATTCTTTGGCCACAGTGAGATTGAACATTTGTTCAAATGTTTATTGACTATTAGTATTTTTCTCTGAAAATTGCTTGTCCCCTGTCACACAGTTTTCTCTTGCAGTTCCTCTTTTTCTTATTGACTTATAAAAACATTTTTTAAACATAAAGTCTGTTAGCCCTGCCATATACAGTGTGTGAACATTTCTCCCCTCTCTTTTTACTTTATTTGTAGTCAGGTTTTAGAAAACCATTTGATGCCAGTGTTTTCTGGCATTTCTTGTTTAATATACCTGTCACTGGTAAAGTGTTATAGTTCACTTGCCTTAAGGAGTTCTTCCCAACGCCCCTTCCAAAGCACACTGTGATCATCCAGTGGAAACATCTGTGCAATTGAAACATCCTTAATGTCTCTATCCCAAACTCAAAGAACTACAAAGAGCACACTTAATTTTACTTGATCATCGGCCCCTTATTAATCTTGGCAAATTTTAACATGTAGGCAAGCATATCCAAGCCAGCCCACAAGTTACTGTGCAATTGGTTCCAAATGATCGAGGTGGAGGGTTTTTTTTTTTTTTTTTTTCCCCTAGCTAAAAGAACTTTGTCTCTCTACCACTAAATTATGACTTGTTATCTCACAAACTTAACAGCATCCAGTGGTTCTATCTCTAGGTAATGTAACCCAGCTGGGGATCCAAGGTCTGCAAAGCCCATGCTTTAGAACAAAAGGATATTTTTCTCTAGCCAGTAAATAAAAGAGGTTTTTTTTTTCAGCTATAAAAGGACAAAAGGTTTTGAAATGATCCCACTGGGCAGGGTTTCCTAGACTTGTTTTTTTGGCAGTTGGCCATGGAGCTAACTTAGAGTCTTCCAAGCTTCTTCCATTTTTGTAGCAGAGTGAGGATTTCACTGGATGAGACTAGAGTCACTTCGTGGTGTAACGACTAATGCCCAGGGTGCTCTTAATGTAGAGGCAACCGCAATGGCACATCGAACAGGGTCATCAGAAGACCCTTGATCAGTGTGCACAAAGAACTAAAAACTTGAACCTTTTCCCTTTTTATTTAAGTCACTTCATTGCCCCCTCTGGTTATATGTTTTCCTCCTCGAGAAACATTTAATACTGTAAATGTAACAAGAACAGTAAATGGTCTATAGCTTCAGTTAGAAGTTGACAAAAATGTTTAACTTAACTAAGGTATTGTTTTATCCCATTTTTAAGGTTTTAATAGCTCTGTGACATCAGGTCTGCCTTATTGATTTTCTACATGTGTTTCACAGTCCTGAAACCCAAGGTTACTGTTGTCCATTCTTATTGCCCTATTGCAAGAAGGCTTGGTCCATGCCCTGGACTCAGTCTTGTTTCTTAAGATGTTACTATGACTAGAGTTAGAGGATAAAATTATATGCATAATTGAGAACAATTTATCAAAGCATGTATTGAGGAATCAGCACCTGTGTAGGTACTTTATGTGAATTACCAACAACAAAATCAACAGCAACAACTTGTGATATCCCAGTCACTGTTCTAAATACCTAGGCATATATTTAGTCACTTAATCCTGACAGTAACCCTAGGGGGTAGAAGCTACAATTGTTCCTATGTTACAGATGGGTATAGACAACAAAGGCAAGTGGATAAGCCAGGATTTGAACATGATAAAATCTCACTCTAGAGCTTTCCCTCTTTATTTGATTAAATTGATACAACAATACTGCAAAATTGGCAATGGTGTCCACATTTTACAGATGAGAAGCTGGGCTCCGAGAGGTTAATAACTTTGTAGTAACTTTCCACACACCTGTGAAGTAGCAGAGTTTGGTTTAAACCCTAATTCTAAAGTCTTCTCCATTATAGCACGTTTCTCACACTACAACATGTTTCTTATTTGTATTCATTTCAGAGAGATCTTACAACTGGCCAATAGATGCTTAAATGGGCCTGCACACACTCTTCTGGTTTCCCGTTGCACAGGAAGCTAGCTGTTTAGACTGCACTCCGCATGGCATGAATGACACAATAAGAACTGCCTCAACTCTTTCTGTATAAATAGCTGTAGGATTTAGCTTGTGGGCTCATTCCTGCCTCAGGGACTTTGTGCTTGCTGTCCCTTGGCTTGGAACACGTCATCCCCAGATCTTGGCGTAGCCAACTCCTCCTTCTCAGGTGTCAGCTCAGATGTCATCACCTGAGTGGGCTGGCCCTAACTACCTGCATCAATCTCCTGGGGCTGCCATGACAAATCACTACAAACTGGGTGGCTTAAAACAATAGAAATGTATTCTCTCATAGTTATGCAGGCCAGAAGTCTAAAACCAAGGTGCTGGCAGGGCCACGCTTCTACTAACGGCACTACGGGAGGATCCTTCCTTGTCTCATTCAATTTCTGGTGGCTCCACGTGCTCCGTAGCTTGTGACAGTGTAACTCCAATCTCTGCCTCGTCCGCACAGCTTGCTCCTCTTCCTATAAGAACACTTGCCATTGGAGTTAGGGCCCACCTGGTTAATCTAGATGAGATTGGCATAATCTCATCTCAAGATCTCTAGTTTAATTACACCTTCAAAGACTGTTTCCCCAAATAAGGTCACATTCACGGGTTCTGGGTGGACATATCTTTTGGGGGTGGGGACCCACCATTCAACCTTAGGTAAAGCCACCTTTGTTGCTGTTATGCTCTGTGACCCACTGTATTTTCTTCAAAGCACTTGTCCTTATTTGATGCATCTTATTCTATCTGTCTTCTTTTGCTTGTCTCTACCTACTTGAATTCCAGCTTTATGAGTAAAGAGCTGTCTTTTTCTCTGCTGTGTCCCAGGATGTAGAACAATGCTTGGTATATCGTAGGGATTATTGAATATTTACTAAATAAAAGAATGAAATCACTGGACTAATGTGGTGTCAACTTGGCTCTTTGATCCCTTCAGCAATTTCCAGGGTTTTATTTTTTGTTATTTTGTGTTATTTGGATTTCGGTTGCAGAAATGCAAATATATTACGGGACATATATTTGGTATAATGGGTAAATATATCTAACCATTTCAGTCTAACATTCAATTGCTAACTGGTCTTCTTAGCTCGTTTAGCTTTTACTTTGGCCCCAGAATTGCATCCTCAGCAGAGTGTTTCTTTCTCCCTTAGGCTCTGACCACCTCCGAGAGAAAGACGGTCTCTGGGCTGTCTTGGTCTGGCTCTCCATTATCGCTGCCCGGAAGCAGAGTGTGGAGGAAATTGTTCGAGATCACTGGGCCAAATTTGGCCGCCACTACTATTGCAGGTGAGGAGAAGGGGAAGGATCTCTGGACGGACCCTGCGGAACTAGTCTTAGAGCAGGTTTCTAAAACTGATGAACTAGAACCTTAAAAAGAAGGCATCTTTCAGGAAGATCTGAGGGACACAGAGGCTGAAGCCAGGTCACCCTTGATAGGTGGTTGGGGGTGACATCAAGGGCTACCAAGCAGGAAGGTACAAATTTCCTTGGTGACATTTCTCTGTAATCTTTTCATCAGTGCCTGGGCATGGTGGGTGGCCATCCCAAGAGGAAATCTGAACTACAGAGCTTTGAACTAAAGTGCTTTAGTGAGCATGGTGGCTGTGAGAGTCGTGCAGTCAAACCAGAGGCATTTCTTGTTGGTTTTGCACCCATACTTATTAAGGAAGGGGGGCAGACACAGAAGCCGTGACAGTTGTAATCCTCTCCCTACTTTTGTCTTATCTCCTCACCAATGGGGCAGACGATGTCCAAAACACATGAGCTGGCATCCTTTGAATGGACCACATGGTTCGTGAGCCCTAGATTTTGCTAAAGTTTTGGTCTGATGAAAGGAGGCACAGAAAAGGGAAACATTACCTAGGAAGGAGGAAGAGGAAAGGTCAGTGAGTAGGAGCTTAGGGTTGGGGCTCTCTATCCCTTTCCTGTTGCTTAAGTAAGAGAGAGAAAGAGTGTTCTAGATGCATGGTTGCCTACTAGATATGTGAACATATCTAGTACCAAGTCATGGTTTAGGGATAGGGAGTAGGAAAGGTTGTTAACTGTGCAGAACTTGAGGGTGGGGGCAAGTGAATCCTTGGGTAGTCTCAGAGGCTCTCTGTGTTTTAAAAACAGAGATTGCATCTCATTTTGCTTGCTTTTGAATAGTTAACTACTTTGGATGTTTGGTTGTATTTCAAAAGCTTAAGGGACAGAAAGAGGGCTTTAGAATTCCCTTATAAGGTGATTGTTTTTTCTCTCAAGAAGTCGTTTTCTTAGATAAATATCAGAGAATAAAGAAGCCTGTGGTAGTACTCATTAAAATCAAAGAGCTCACAACTTTCTGGGAAATATAGACAACGCCATAATTCTTGTTTAGTCAAGAAGGCTCAGGATGTGATAGCCTGTAGACTACCTCCAATTATTTATTGTATCATCAAAAAAGGGTTCTCAATGCAGGCAGGTAGGAACTTGTTTTATTTATCGTTATTTCTAAAAAAGTGCCAAAACCCCCTGATTTTTATATTTTGTTTTTGTTTTTGTTTTTGGCATACCAAGGGCCAATTGGCATGTGAAATCCTTCTATTGCATAAGGTTCTTTCAAAAAGTCTAACTTGATCAAATATATTATGATTGCCATCCTCTGGCTTAGTGAGATTGCTTTGAGTCAGAGATGTGTTTCTCCTAATTTGTGGAATGATTATCTAGGCTTCTGCTGGTGTTTGGAAGAATTGGTATTATGATAAGTGTATTTATAATATAGTTTATTTTTTGTGGCCAAGAACTTACAGGATAATTACTTTCTCATAACAAATGCCATATTAGAGAATAATATGCAATGGAGATTTAATTACTTATAGGACGATGAATTGTGTTTCAGATTTCTGTCCAAAAAGATCACAGAGATAAAAAGGGAGGCAGGAATCGGTAGAACGAAAGGTCAATATTTCCTTCAGCTCCCAGCAAATGGCAAGTTGAAAGGTGCTTGTGAAGTGAAATTATTTCTAGCTTGACAATTCTCTTGGCAGGGAGAAGATAAAACAATTTCAGTTTAACTAATACTGAGCCTGAAATTGTCTCTGAGAAAATCTCCGGGATGAATTTCCTTGTATGAGTAGACTCTAGAAGGAATTCTCCATTTAAAGGTTTCTTTCCTTGGAAGTGGTGGTGGTGGTCAGAAGGGGAATTGGGGGTGGAAGGTGGTGCTAGGTCCTGCTTGTGTGTAAAGGTGAACATTTGGGCAGGCTTGTCTGATGACCTCAGCCAGAGACTGAACAAATCTATCGCATTTGTGTTTTTTCTCAACTTTTAAATCTCTTTCAGTGCCTCCCTATCTCCTACTACACCCTCCTATCCCGTCTTCCTGCCCCTTTGCTTGGTGAGGTCTTCACCTTCTCCAAATGACTGTCTTTAAGCAGAAGCTAGTTTCAGAACACATGCAGTGCTGAAAAAGAATGTCCTGAGGGGGTTCCTTATTTTTATATTATTTTATTTTATTATTTGATTTGATTTGATTTTTTTCCTGAGGCTGGGGAAGAAGCACCTTATCTAGGAGGAAGAGAATTACAAGAAGGGATATAGATGCAGGGGACCCATTGCTTGACATGGTATCATTCCGGATTTTCCATCTTGCCTAATACCCTGATGTTTACTGGATGTCTTAAAAGATCTTGGGTGGAAAAAAAAAATTAGTTATAGCTATTCAGAGCTTCCTTCTTTCAGTTCGCTCTGAGAACTCTCATCCTTTCTCTGTGCTGCAGAAAGCCCAAATGTGAGACCCCTCCAACAGCCGCTGGGGCACAGCTGCCCCTCCCAGGGCTTCCCTCTTAAACAGACCCTCCCGGGTGTGCCATTAGTCTCTGATGTGCCTGGCACTGTGCCAGCTGCTTGGCATGTGTTATCATATTATAAAGCCCACAACAGCAAAGGCAGTAACTGTTAGTTTTAGTTTTTCTCTTTTTTTCTAATCACCTCCCAGCCTCCTTGTTATGTTTGATGCTCTTGACTAGGAGAACTCTTAAAACAGAACAATTGTGACATTTCTCCCAAGTTTCAGAGAGAGTTTTATAGCATCTTTTGTTCCTTTCTCTCTCCCTCTTTGCCTTCGTTGATTCCTCTCTTTGCTTTCTTCCTTCTTTTCCTTCCTCCCACCTTTTATTCCCTACTTACGTAGCACTTCCTACGAGCCAGAAGTAGCAGAGAACAAGGCAGCTAAGGTCTCTGCCCTCTTGGGGCTCACATTCTGGTGGGCAAAGACAGATGATAAGTAAACAGGTATACAAACGAGATATAGGTTGGGATAACTACCCAAAGAAAATATAAAGGACAATGAGAGAGGAGGAAGAAGGGAGCTACCTTAGATAGATGGTCAGAGGTCACTTTCTAGAGGTGACAGCAAGTTTGAAATATTGAAGGCAGAGCATCAGCCAGTGGATTGAATAGCTGGAGGAAGAGTGTACGAGGTAGACAGAACACACGGTGCGGGCAGACGCTCGGAGGCAGGAAAGGCTGAAGTGTCGTTGAGCACAGGAGAGGAGGCCAGTGTGGCAGGAACAAGTGAGCAAGGATGAAAAGCAGAACAAAGTCAAGTCACTAAGGTGGACAGGGGCGGATCCCACATGCCTGATACACTGTGGTTAGGGCTTTGAGTTTTGTTCTCAACATCATGGGTGTTTTTGGAGGGGCTTACAGGAAAGGAGTGGTGTGATTTGATATTCACAAGATTACTTGGGCTGCTGTAGGGAGGATGGATGATAAGGGTCAGGTGGGAGATGGGAGGCTGGTTGAGGGTGCTTTTCTGTGCTGCCCTGCCCAGAAAACAGAAACAACGATTAGATGACCTTAAGGGGCCCACCCAATTGCTGCTTCTCTGATTAGGTTCTTGTTCGTCCTGCGTCCTGCCCTCCCTCACCAGGTTTGACTATGTGGGGCTGGAGCCCAAGACGACCTATTACATCATGAGGGACCTGGAGGCCCTGGTCACAGGCAAGTCCTTCGTTGGCCAGCAGTTTGCCGTGGGGAGCCACGTCTACAGTGTGGCGAAGACAGATAGCTTTGAGTACGTGGACCCTGTGGATGGCACCGTGACCAAGAAACAGGTACTCGCTATGGAGTCACTAAAACAGGTTGTTAGACAGAACCAGTGGCCAAAGTGTCCTAGAGTTGGAGAGGTCTTTAGGGATGATCTGTTCTGAGCCCTCATTCTACAGTTGAGAACTCTGCAGCCAGGAAAGAGGAAAGCCCTTGATGAAGGTCACTGACTAGTTAGTGGCAGAGAGTGGATTAGAACATGGGTCCTCTCTGTCCAGTATTCTTTCTACTTGGTAATAGATGGGCCAATACCTCAAATATATATAGACCCAACATTTCCTTCTAAAATACTTGTAGCCTTCAAGTGCTCTTGTGTGGTGGCCATTATTGGATTCAGAAAAGTTTCCACGAGCAAAAGATCCCTGCCCTTGGGACCCCCAGGTACAGGGATATTTCGCCTTCTATTACCTTATATCATTGAGGAATCATAGGAGCTTAGCCACATGGGTTTGGTACCGTGGTAGGGAAGAATCAGTTGAAAAATTTGCCCAGAAAACCCAAAAGGAAGACATATGGATGAGAATGATTATCATAGATGAGTGGCAAAGTCAACCACACCATCTATTATGGTTTCATCTTTGTGAAACATGTAAGAAAGGTTAATAAAGTCACTACAACTATTTTACTTCTCATTTTTGTTTATTTATTGGCGATGGCAAATATTGGCCCCTCTGGGGGCATATGTTAATGTTTACAGTCTAAATAACATACCATGAGTAACATTAAGAGAAGTTCTATTCTAAAATTTCCAGATTCTTATGTTTTTATACATTCTTCCTAGGCACAGACTGTAAAACAAGTCAGAAGCTTCAGGTCTTTTCGGACTATATATGAGGGCTGTCTGGAAAGTATCCGGCCATGTAACCATTCTCATTGTATTAACAATGGCTGGATACTTTCCGGACAACCCTTGTATCATGGTAGTTACTATTTTAATTTGACTAGTATATCCTATATCCTCCTTTTCCTAGGGCCCCCTCAGATATTCCAAATCCCAATGCTCTCTTGTTTCCCTCTTGATATTTTCTCTCTGGTTTGCTTAGTTTTGTGGTAATCTTTCACGTACATCAAAAAGTCAGGCTGGGCGTGGATTGTTCGAGCTCAGGAGTTCAAGACCAGCCTGAGCAAGAGCGAGACCCCGTCTCTACTAAAAAATAGAAAGAAATTACTTGGACAGCTAAAAATATATAGAAAAAATTAGCTGGGTGTGGTGGTGCATGCCTGTAGTCCCAGCTACCCAGGAGGATTGCTTGAGCCCAGGAGTTTGAGGTTGCTCTGAGCTAGGCTGACGCCATGGTACTCTAGCCCGGGCAACAGAGCGAGATTCTGTCTCAAAAAAAAAGAAAAAGAAAAAAAAAGTCAGTCTCTCATTCTAGAAGCCCTACAGTGGCCCAACACAAGGATTACAGCCTTACTTTGGAAAATGATAGTAGAGAAAATAGTGGATAAGAAGTTAGAAGACTCAGAATCAAATCCTACCCCTGCCGCTTAATAGTTGTATGACTTTGGGGAAGTTGCTTGATTTCTTTGAGCTACAGTTTCTTCCTTCTTTGTAAAACACCTATCTCACAGAATTGTTTTAGAAATGGAATGAAATAAAATACACAAAAGCTTCTAGCTATCTTTTATATAGAGCTTGTACAATACGTTTCTCTGGTTGTGTTTTGTTTCACTCAAGGAAGATTGCTTGTAGCCTGGACTGAATTCACTCTGAAATAACAACGATGAATCAGTCCTTGCAGATACAAAGTCAGGAGCTCAGCTGCATCTTTGAGCCCCTGTGCCCCAGATAAGTCTTTTCCAGTTTTGTACCACTTTCCCACTTTCAGTTTACATAGGGCCCTCGGGACAAACTTTTCCTAATTCCGAGGCTTATTTCGTTTTTGTTAGTGTAGAATTCAAGCGATGTAAAGTGCTTTCTAAAGTATCCTTGGGAGGTTTTTGTTCATTGATGAGGAAGGCTTGGGCACCATTTGTTGGAGGCCCGTGCAGGGGTGGGGAACCCTTATTAAAAGGATTTGTTCTGTATAATTTGGATTCAGTCAAAAGGCCACACTCAAGGATCCAGAAGGCCACATGTGGCCCCACGGCTGTAGGTTCCCCACCCCCGCGAGGCTTGTCTGTGGAGCTAATTTGTTTTGCTGTTTATTCAATATTACTCTACCTCGTATGTTCCCCAATGTACTCAGCATTTGGATACTTTTTTTTTTTTTTTTAATTTAACCATTCACGTCAGGCTAATTCCTCCGCTGGATCTCTAGTTCTGACATCTATTTATTCCATTTCCCTTCCCCCTCTACAACCCTGTGTATTGGCTGCCATTTTTACTCTGGAATTGATTCCTCCCTGCCCCGCCCCGCCCTGCCTTCCATGTTCTCCCATCTGAGCTTAGATGTGGCTATAAATAGGTAAGTGCTACCAGGACCTGCTCTTGAGAGTTTTTCTAGGAAAGAAGAAAAGAAGATTGTTGTTCATTTTCCCAGATTCCAGGGCCCAAGTCACATCTTCATTGGCTGGTGGCCGTGAGTCACACTGAAGTTCTCTGCAGGTCTGGGGTTTGGCTCAGCGAGTGTGATGAGAGACCAGTTAACACCCAGTGACATCCTCATTGTCAGCAAGCCACAGATGGTTCTTTTGCCACAGCTGGTCTTGTTCGGCAGCGAAGGAATCCCTGCATAGTGTGGTGTGCTGTTGCAGCACTCTTAGGATGTGAACAGAGATCAGCATTCACCTCCAGGAGTAGTTGAATCTGGGGCACACTTCAGGTCACATTTTGCAAAATAAGCATGAGTTTTCAAACTATAGATACCAAAAAGACATATTTGAATTTAAATGAAGTAGTATTATTTTTAAAATAGTCAAAGTACATTGATGCATTTGTTCAATGGATATTTATTGAGAGCGTACTAAATGCATAATTTGTTTTTTTATAGTACAGTTTTTAATATGAATATATAACAGCATTATTGAGATATAATTCACATACCATACATTTCACTCATTTAAAGTGTACACTTCAATGGTTTCTAGTATATTTACAAAGTTGTGCAGTCATCGCCACAATCAATTTCAGAACATTTTTCATCACCTCTCAAAAAAAACCTTGTGCTCTGTGGTGGTCATCTTTCTTCTAACATCCCTCTCACCCCCAGCCCCTGGCAAGCCCTGATCTACTTTCTGTCTCCATGGATTCGCCTACTCTGGGCATTTCCTATAAATGGAATCATATAATATGTGGTCCATTGTGACTAATTTCTTTCACTTAATGTAATGTTTTCAGGGTTCATCCGTGTTGTACCGTATATCAGTACTTTATTCCTTTTATTGCCAATTAACATTCCATTGTGTGGATATACCACATTTTGTTTATCCATTCACCAGTTGATGAACATTTGGGTTGTTTCCACTTTTTGGTTATTATGAATTACACTTCTGTAGACATTCATAGACAAGGTTTTATGTGGACGTAGGTTTTCAATTCTCTTGAGTATATACCTGGGAGTAGAATTGCTGGGTCAAGTGGTAACTCTCTTTAACCCTGAAAGGAACTGCCATATAGTCTTCAGAAGTAATTGCCTACCATTTTACATTCCTACCAACAGTGTGTGAGGCTTCCAATTTTTCCACATCTTCATTAACCCTTGTTATCATGTGATATATCTGGATCCTTGGCCCTCCAAAGCTCATCTTGAAGTTCCATCCCCAGTGTTGGAGGCGAGGCCTGGTGGGAGTTGTTTTCTTCAGGGGGATGGATCCCTCATGAGTGGCTTGGTGCCCTCCTTGTGATAATGCGTGAGTCCTTGCTCTGTTAGTTTTCATGTGAGAGCTGGTCGTTTAAAAGAGTGGGCTCTCTCTTGTTCCTTCTCTCCCTGTGTGACACGCCTGCTCCCCCTTCTCCTTTCACCACAGTTGGAAGCTCCTTGAAGCCCTCACCAGAAACAGATGCTGGTGCCATGTTTCTTTTCAGTCTGCAGAACTGTGGGCTGAATATACGTCTTTTCTTTGTACAATAAGTTACCCAGCCTCTGGTATTCCTTTATAGCAATGCAAAACAAATTAATACACTATGTCATTATTTTAACATAGTATTATTTTAAAACAACCTACTATAATACAGGTTATTTTTAAATTGATATAGAAGGATATTTAATCTCCATAAGGAGAAACAGAAGTATGTCTCCCTGTTAACAGAACCCAAGGGAATCACAATACTGTAAAATCTCTGCTTGCTATGGGAGGCAGTTCTCTGTGGTCCTCTTCAGTATTCTATTGCGTTTGAGTCACAGTTTGAAGGATTTGAAGGCCAGCTTTGTCACTGCCTACATTTGTGACTTTGGGCATGTTCCTTAACTTCTCTGAACCTCAACTGGGAAATGGGCTGGTGATATTTACCATATATGTAGGGTAATGGAGAAGGTTTGAGGAGAAAGTCCTATAAAGCCCCAGGTACAGTGGCTGGTACCTAATCGATGCTCAAGAACTATCAGTTTCCTCCCCAGCTCTTACCAGAATCCTTAATTTGACTGAATATCAGTTTGAGGAAAGGATAAATCTCTTATTCTCTCTCTCATGTGCAATCAAGTATATATTTTTACAAATAATCTTCAGTATGCCCTTAGGGTTTGAAAACACTCTTCTATTTATTCTATTTTTAAAATGCTTTGCAGTGAAATTTGAGGTTCAGATTAATGATCTCAAGGTCCTGGGGGATTCCCAGTTATCTCTTGTTTGCTTTAAATTCTACTCACTAAGGGAAAAAAGTAGATAACAGAAATGGTTTTCAACAACAAAATTTTGAACCATTTTTTTTTTTTTGCTATTCCTGTTTTATCCAGAAATTATCCTTAAACACGATGTTCTGCTCCAGAGCACCCCAGGCCTCCTGGTGCTACTGCAAAGCCAGTGAGCAATGTTTAAGTCGCATGGGCTTAATTCAGAGTCTTGGGTTTGCATCTGGACTCTGCCACCTCCTTGCTGAGTTATCTTAGGCGAGTTATTCAACCTTTCT